AAGTGCCAACTATTTATTCCACAGGGAGAGAAAATAAATACAGAACAAAGAAGTCATTATTTTTTGCTTAATAAAAGCTTTTACAGTTTTATTAAAGAAAAATACCTGTTTATTACTGAAATTTTAGCAAATGTAGATAGTCATAATAGAGAAGAAATATATCCCCAAGTCCCATCTTTGAGGAAAAAATAACCAAATTCTTTGTAATCTTTCTTTTCATCTGTGTATCCCTGTGCTTTCTCAAGAACTCTTTCTTGAGACAAGAAACAAGAAACAAGAGTTTCTCAAGAAACTCTTTCTTGAGACTGCAGACAATGCTTTGCAATATAAATTTTTTACTTGAAACATTATGAACATTTTCCTGACCATCAGTTTGTATAATATGTTAATGTCTGTATAGTTTTCCATTCCACAGATACAGCCTAATTTGTTTAATCACTTTCGTGTTGGGCATCTAGGAGGTTTGTGTTTTTTTAATATGTGAAATGCTGCTATGAATATTTATTAGGTTGAATTGTTTGTATGTATTTCAATTATTTCTTTATAATAAAGCACTAGAATAGAATTATTCGGTTAAATGATTGGTCTGTTTCTTGGGTTTTTGTTACCTACTTCTAGGTACTTCCTAGAAAATTCCTAAGAATTTTCCTGCTCACCAGAGAGTGCTTGGTAGAATACAGAATCTTTCCCAGCATCTGATGTTGTCAGCTGCTTCCTAACCTTTGACAATTTTATGGGTAACAGAGTACTATTGTTTTATTTTACATTCTTTGGTAGCTCTTTCTTGTTTGTTGAACACTGTCCTATCTTGTTTTAAGGGCTGTTTGCTCACATCGCACTCTGATGTGAAGGAAGAACTTCCCTTTAAGGCCCACTTCATAGGCAGAATCGAAAGAAAGGGTAGTGGACAGAGGTTTTGGAGAGAAATGAAAACAGCTATGGGGAGAGGAGGACAGAAACCATCCCCCTCATAACTAGTGTGTACTTTGCATGGTACATGTGCTATTATGGCTCTAACTGGAACAAGAGAATGGAGAGTGGTCCCCGTGCAGTTTCTGCCATGAAATAGCTTCTTACTTATCTTCAGAGAAAAGATCTAAACAATTAAATGTCAACCTTTTTGAAATGCCTGTAGAGGCAGCACAGCACACTAGTTACGAGCACATACTCTGGGGCCAGAATTCAAACCCTGACTTTGGCATTTACCATAAGCTGCATGACGGTGGACAAGTTACTTAATCTGTTTCTTGAGGCATAAAATGGGAAAATAGCAGTGACAGGTTGACATAAAGGAGAAATGACTTTATAGACCTACAAGTCTTAGACTGGTGTCTGGTAAGTAGTGATATGTAAGTGTCTTGTAAACAAAATTTATAAAGAACCTGGCATGGCCCATAGCAGCACTTGAGAAGTGTTAGCTGAATACATGTAATATGCAATAAAAGGCAATACATAGACAAACAGGTTTCAGTACATGTGGTTTAGACAAGAGGGGTACTGGGTGTTAAGGGATAGTTTTCAAACAACTAAAATCATGAATCTCATACAAATATAAAATAACCCATATCAAAGGGCTTTTTAATTCATTTAAGAGAACAATAAGATATTATAATTAGTTCAAAGAAGGATCCAAAGAACAGACAAGTGAATGAATGGGTGATCCCCGTTGAGATGAATTTGCTGACAAATGCAAAGCTGGCCTCTTACACAGGGCAGACATTACTTTCGTCTCCACCAGACAAAATTCCTGTGCATCTCTGTGGACAAAATCATTTGCTGCTATCAGTCTTTACTGGATTGGAAGGTCACTCAAAGAAAAGGAAAGAAAATAACATCATGGTATCAGATCACCAGCAGGAGCCCCTCGACACCATCCTTGGAAAAAATCTTTTGGTCCATTTCAAAGACTTTCCTATTTTCCCTTGATTTAGGGAAGTAGACAACTAATTATTCTAAAAATTATTGAAATTAGGGCATTAAAGGGACTTTGACAGAATTGAAGCCTCAAGCACTGAACAGTTCTGTGAAACAATCACTTCACGACTTTGAGCATCAGTGACCTTTTCTGTAAAAGGAGGATAAGTGTGTCTCGTTCCTGGAATCTCTTATAAAACGAAACAATATGTGTCCAAAGATCCTAATACAGTGTGCGACTCATAGTAGATATTCAATAAGCAGTAGCTATTACTGTGCTAATTATGATGAGCTGAACCAACCAAAGAATAATTGCTCACTTTTGATTCTACCACATGCAGTCAGCCTAGGTAGAAGTTATGTGCAGTATTTGGTAAAGCCCTGGGGAAGGAAATTGTGTGGCTCCCACAGGGGACACTGAAAACATCAGCATGGGGAGGGGGGTTGGTAGAGAATTCTGAGAAATAACGCAGTGTAGGTAGCATCCAGTGTCTGAAGAGGCTTTGGAATCCAGTCAGAAGTTTTGGCCGTCAGTAAGCAGCCAATTAAGCAGCATCTGGAGTGCAGATTCCTGGGCCTCACCCCAGACATAATGACTTAATGGCTGGCAGTTGAGAATGTGTATTTTATCAGGTTACCCAGTTACCAGTGTTGCTTTAGCATATTGGAACTTTAAGAATCACTGATGCAAATATAAGATATAAACCTTTATCTGGAGTCATTCTTGAAACTTAGGAATAAAGTAAAGTAAGGGACCTTCCAGCCAGTGTATGTACAGGCCAATGTCTGAATGAAAAGATGAGGTGAGCCTGAAGGCAGGAGGGAACTGGCAGGTGTAGGTGGAACTTATCCCTGAGGTGATGAGGGATTGCACTAAGGTGGAAATTAAGGAAGAGACAGGAATCAGTGACTCCAAACATTATTATAAAGAAGTAGACTTTAATGACTAAGTTGGTAGGAGATTCAAAATGGAGGACCACAAGTATTCAAAATGATTTTAAGTCCAGGTAAATAGAATAGAGATTCATTGACACAAATTGAGAATTGAGAATGGTCAGTTTCGTGGAAAGCTAAGTTCAGTTTGGGGCATGTAAAAGGATGAAGATACTCTTAAGTGGAAATTTATGGAAAATGATTGAAGGAACGGGAGGGATGGGGAGACTCCAAGCTTGAGTGACAGGTCTTGGCTAGAACAATAGATGAAATTTTTAAGGAACATCTTCAGATAAGTCTTCTCTGTTTCCCTTCCTCTTTAAATTGTCAAAATATATGTTATTCCACACACAAAGGATTTCATGAGTTAAATGCTAATCCCTTTGAGTGTTTCAAATTTATGTATTATCCTATCTATAGAGAAAAAGTAAAGCTGTATTTATAGTTTACTTTAAAGATGAAAACCTAAGGCATAGTTGAGAAGGTGAACATGTTTAATTATTTTCCTCTTTCTAGACAAGATGTAAAGCCCTTAAGATTTAGGAAGGTGGTTAGAAACTCATTTGTATATCCCAGTGAGGTATTTGGTAAATGCTTAGTTATTGAACTGAATTTTAAAATGATTCCTGAGGATACCTGACAATGTACAGCATCTGCCTACCCCTGGAGTTAAGCCTGTTTCTGGTAAATCCTGTGAGTTCAATTCCCAAATGTGCTACAGTCCTTTGAGAAGCTAATTAAGATCCTTGGCTCATATGGGGATTGTTGTCTAAAAATTAAAAGTTAGAGTGTGCTCTAAATCTCAGACTCACGTGACCCACTGGGAAACTTCCAAGTATTAGTAAGTCCTCAACTTAAACTGTTGGTTCAAAACCACTCTCTTGGTTGGAGTAAAATCACAAAAGGGTGTTTGAAGAGCCCTTTCTTTTTCTTATAAACTGTACAAACATCTAGCACAGTAGAGCCATTTTTAAAAAGTGCCTTTGATTGCAAGTGTTGTAATTTTTGTTTTGATCCTACTATTAACAAAAACTAAAAACTGTATTGTAATCATTTAGTATGTACAATAATTGAAGTGTTTTATTGATCGTTGTGTCAACAAAAAGATGAGCACGTTCCCAGAGAAAATAAGTTCTCTAGTGAATTTCTAAATGCCAGGCAGTGCTCATACTCCAACAAGGATTAGAATTTATGTACATTTTATTGTTGCCTGGTATTTGGCAGTAGGTATTTTCACGCAATGTATTTTTAATGAATATAAAACACAGTATGCAAGGAATTTCGTTGCATATGAAATATTACTGAATCTAAGTGAATACCTCCTTTGCATGTTCTAAACTTGAATTTATGTGTATGTTGTTATAAAAGTCACATTGCTTAGAGTAAGTTTATATTTTTATCCTGTCCTTAACATTCTATGACATTTGTGTTGATTGGTTTAATTAAGTTGCTTTATACACCTATTTTTTGTGATTTTAAGTGTGTAGAAACTCAAAGCAGATTCAAATGTACCTTCTGCTGAATGTTTTATGTCCTTGAATTTTTAGATTATTTATATATGCAAAGAATAAATACGTTCATTTATTCACTTGACAACTACTTATCGAACATCTCTTATGCCCCAGACACTGTTCTAAGTGCCAAATACACAGTAGGAAATATAGTATCATGTGGTCAAGAACTGGTCCTTTATCTACCCTATAATATGTCAGTAATGATAATGGTACTCCACCCTCAAACAGTAATTTGATCCAAGTCTTTGTAATTAATCCTATAGATTGATTCTAGAAGCAGAGGTCACAAGAAGAAATTGTTAGGGAAGTGAATTTAGACTTCATATTTTAATTGATTCCTGCTCGTCTTCAATAATATGAACATCTTTGCTTTCGAGTGTAGGATTTTATTTCCTTGGAAGTTCCCAGGATGAGCAAACTCAGTGTTGGTTTACTTAATGCGATTGATTTATTTGATCCATGGGAAAAGGCCAATGCAATATGATTGGTGAGAAATGTTTGAGCCTGGTCGTTTTAATGGCAAATATTTTATAATCTCTGTTTTTAGAAATCTAAGAAGTTTTACTTTTTTTTTTCTTTTTTTAACTCTGCATCCTTTAATGAGAGGTCTTTATCTTTTATCTGTTCACTGTTTTCCAGGTTTTAGGGACAAAGCCAGAGCTTAGGGATGGAGACGATGATGACGACACCATAGCAGACATAACCAACAGGAAAATGGCTAAACTCTACATGGTGAGTTTACTGTTAGCGAGTTCTATTATTTTTCCTGGACTGGATGCAGCCAGGAGGCCTGTTCTGGGAGGGACTCTCTGGGATAGCTGATAATTATCATTGCCCTGAAAGAGAAATGTGTAGGTAGAATCCATTCTTTGCTCTAGTATGCTTATTAAAATTTTTCTTTTTATTGCTTTTTGTTTTTTTTATTAAAAAATGAAAAATAATAAGTGAAATAATTGCTACAACTTAAAATTATATATTGTTGCTGTGCTAGTTTGCAACAATATGTTTTGATATATGACATTTAATAAAATTTTTCCTTCATGGGATAAAAATACTTGGTAAGCTTTTTCTTTTTTTAAAATTTATTTATTTAAACTCAAGTTAGTTAACATACAGTGTAGTATTGGTTTCAGGAGTAGAACCAAGTGTCATAAGCTTTTTCTTATAAAGTCTTGATAAATTATAAAATCTTCATGTTACTTTAAATATCCTGTTTAGCCATAATAAAAACTTTCTTTGTTGCAGGAGGGAAAAGGTATCAAATCAAAGCAGAGTAAACATAGCCCTGTCCTGGGCATTTGAGACCTAGTTCCATGACACCTCTGTGGTGATAACCCACTGGGTGGCCCTGGGCAAGAGATGACCATTGTGGGCCTCAGTTTTCTTAGCTGGAAAAAAAAAAGACAGATTACATTAGAAGATTATTCAGGTTCTTTCCAACTCCATCATTTTATGATTTTATTGCTGGTGAAGGCAACAGAAGCCACAAATGCACCAGATGAGGAGATTGCTCAGATGGGATCCTTTAAGAGTTCCCTCCCCTTATAATTTTCCAAGCACATGATTGGGAGCAGATGGTTAATCTTCCTGCAGAGCTAAGTAGTCATCTGGCATCACAGGAAGGAGTTACATTTGCTCTTCTTTAAGGGAACTTCTAGCTCAGAATCTCATTTTGAATGAAGATCAAGTTACTAACTTGTGTATTATAACTTGCATTTTGTAAAGGGGAAGTGGAGTCTTTTCTTCCTAGAAGGCAAAGGAAAATGTGGTTACCACTTCTGCTAAATACTGATGATTTTAATATAAGCCATACAAAGATTGTTATTCTGGACTTCGTGGCAGCTTTTTTTCATTACTGTTTCTAAAACCCATTTTCAACAACTTAACAAATACTTTTTATGCTACATCATCAAATAAAACTGTTCTCCCTCTTGGACAGCATTATAATAAACTAAAGAAATATTTTAAAATGTGAAAATGTGTCATTTCTCCCTCTAGTGGATTTGTAATGTATTGCATATATATAAAACGCAAAGTCTCTTTGAAAATACTTTAATTTGGAATTGCAGAACAAAGCTGGGAAGCAGAATCACCTGGATAGCTTCCAAAAAAAAAAAAAAAAAAAAAAAAAAAAAAAAAAAACCAGAATTCAAGCCCCACGACAATGCTGCAAAACCCCACCACTGATCTAGGGAAGTCCCTGGAATGTGCATATTTATCCAGTGCCCAGGATTACCTTACAGTCTACTAGCTGGCCTTTGAAAAACAGGGACTTCCAACCTGGGCATTAATATCACTTTCAGTTTTGCAAGACCACCTCCACCTTAAAAAAAAACAAAAACCCCACAATGTTTTGTGGTTATTCCCAAGCTTCAAGAGTCTAAGTAAATAACTATTTGTGATAGAGGAAATTTACTTTGACAGTTTACACGAAGTATGCTTAAATTGCAGGACCTAATTTGAAAAAAAATCTGAGCTTAGACCGTAATATACCAGCGCCTCCATAGCACAATGCTTGGCATATGACAGGTGCTCAGTAAATGTTAAATGAATGAATGTTTAAGCTTTAGCTTTTGCATGTGTGCAATGTGTAAGATTATAACCTAGTTGAAATGATCGCTATGCAGTTTAGGAACTAATCATGTAAACTTCGTGGCCTGGTGCTTATAATATATAGAAATCTCAACAAACCTTAGCTATTATTATTATCACTATCATTTTCTGATGCTTTAGGTCCACTGTCAAAACTTAGCTTTTTATTAGTGTTGTTTTTTTTTTACCCCAAAAGACTTTTAAAAAAATTTTAAAGTATTATTCATTTATTTTTTTAAGTTTATTTTTGAGAGAGCGACAGACAGAGACAGAGCAATTGGGAGAGGGGCAGAGAATGAGGGAGAGAGAGAATCCCAGGCAGGCTCTACACTGTCAGTGCAGAGCCCAATGCAGGGCTTGATCTCATGATCTCACATGATTGTGAGATCAAGAACTGAGCTGAAATCAAGATTCAGATGGCCAATCGACTGAGCCACCCAGGTGACCCGTTACTAATTTCCCTGATGATGAGGGATGTTGAGCATCTTTTCATGTGTCTGTTGGCCATCTGGATGTCTTCATTGGAGAAATGTCTGTTCATGTCTTCTGCCCATTTTTTTTTTTTTTTTTTTTTTTTTAACGTTTATTTATTTTTTTTACAGGACAGAGACAGAGCATGAAACGGGGAGGGGCAGAGAGAGAGGGAGACACAGAATCAGAAACAGGCTCCAGGCTCCAGGCTCTGAGCAAAGCTATCAGCCAAGCGGCCTCAGCACGGGGCTCAACTCACGGACCAGCGAGATGCGTGACCTGGCTGGCTGAGTGGGACGCGAACTGACCGCGCTTAACACCCAGGCTTCCTGTAGCCACCAGCATGCCTGCCCATTTTTAATTGAATTATTTGGAGTTTTTTGGTGTTGAGTTATAGAAGTTCTTTATATATTTTGAATACTAACCCTTTATCAGATATGTCATTCAAAAATATCTTCTCCCATTCAGTAGGTTATCTTTTAGTCTTGTTAAAGTCTTTTAAAAAGACTTTTAGGGTATAATTGAGCTCGTGGATTTTTTTTTTTTTTTTTTTTTTTTTTTTTTCAACGTTTATTTATTTTGGGACAGAGAGAGACAGAGCATGAACGGGGGGAGGGGCAGAGAGAGGGAGACACAGAATCGGAAACAGGCTCAGGCTCCCAGCCATCAGCCCAGCCCAGGAAAACCGGCAGGCTCAAACTCTACAGGCCTTGAAGATGATCGCGACCTGGCTGGAGACGCTTAACCGACTTCATGCCACCAGGTTCCATGTTTTTTTTTTAAACAGCTTTGTTGAGATATAATTTACATTCCCTGCCCATTTAAGGTATTCAGTTCAATGGTTTTTAATTACATTTATAGAGTTGTACAACCATCACCATAATGTAATTTTAGAACATTTTTTATTATCTACAAACAAGCTCATGGTTTTTATATTAGGTTTCAGATGCCAGTGGATCCATGAGAGTGACTGTGGTGGCAGAAGAAAACCCCTTCTCCATGGCAATGCTACTTTCTGAAGAATGTTTTATTTTGGACCATGGTGCTGCAAAACAAATTTTCGTATGGAAAGGTAAAAAATGCCATTGACATTGTGGCTGTGCTTCAGGTATACAGCTATTTCTGTAGAAGCGTAAAGAAAACATCTTTTCTGATTTTATTTTTTTTTTTTTTTGTAAGTAAATTTTTTTTAACGCGGATTTATTTATTTTGGGACAGAGAGACAGAGCATGAGCAGCGGGAGGGGCAGAGAGAGAGGGAGACACAGAATCGGAAACAGGCTCAGGCTCTGAGCCATCAGCTCAGAGCCTGACGGGCTCGAACTCCGGACCATGAGGAGATCGTGACCTGGCTGAAGTCGGGCTGTGACGCCACGCGAATCAAGCCGCTTCCCCTGATTTTATTTTTTTTAACATTTATTTATTTTTGAGAGAGAGAGAGAGAGACAGAGCACAAGCAAGGAAGGTGAGAAAGGGGAGACACAAAATTCGGAAGCAGGTTCCAGGCTCTGAGCTGTCAGCAGACCGAGCCTGACATGGAACTCAAACCCTCTAATTGCGAGATCATGACCTGAGCTGAAGTCAGACACTTGCCTCAACTGACTGAGCCACCCAGGTGCCTTTTTCTGGATTTTAAAGTCTGTCTTTTGAGACTTGACCTGTAAACAGCTCATATAAAATGCAGACATTGACACCATGTTTTCTTCCTACTGGTATCATTTGCCAGAAAATGATGGGGTTAAAAGCATTAGAGAAACATGAAAATATATATATATATATATATATATATATATCTTCTCATATATCTTTTATATTTATGTATATATAAAATAGTGATCATTATGATATTTCTAAATATTTTATACTAGGAAATTTTTACCATTCTCAGTGTTCTATTTAAATTATAATTATGTTCTGCACTGCTTGGTGTGCAAGTAATATTAATCATATAATATCTTCCTCTCTGAGATTCTTATTTTCTTATATTTTAATGCTTTTTTAATTTTTTTTTGCACTTTTTTTTTTTTTTTTTTTTTTTTTTGAGAGAGTGAGGGGAATGAGAGTAGGAAGGGCAGAGAGAGAGGGAGAGAGAATCCCAAGCAGACTCTGCACTGTCAGAGCAGGAGCCAATGCAGGGCTCAAACCCATGAACTGCAAGATCATGACCTGAGCCAAAATCAAAGTTGGATGTAAAGTAACCAACTGAGCCACCCTGGTGCCCGAGATTCTGTCTTTTTTTAATTTATCTTCCATTTTAGGTAAAGATGCTAACTCAGGAGAAGGCTGCAATGAAGACAGCTGAAGAATTTCTAAAGCAAATGAATTATTCCACCAATACCCAAGTATGTGGACATGAACTGGCTAGAAAAAAAAAAAAAAAAAGAACATGGGAAGCTCCTCATAATACACAAAACTCATGAGAGAATTTGGTTCAAAGTAATATATGCATGGGAGTCACTCTTCACACTTACATGTGTGCAACATGGTATCCTGTTGGGCCTACAAAGCTAGGCCCATAACTTGTGAAGATGGAATTTTGCGAAACTGAAGATCATCCCTTCTGTGGGGCTGTATGATGAAAATAAGACCCTATCTGCTTCCTCCACAGCATTTCAGTCAAGATAATCAGCCACAGTTGAGTTAACTGAGAGCACTTTCAGTTAGTCCTTAGAGCAAGAAACCTTGTACAGACGTGGGCTGATAGCCAGATAATATTTGGCCTCACTGAAATGAGCTTAGATACCTGCCCCAGTTACTCCTCCTTTTCTGAATCTTTCAGACTCATCCTTTCTCTTCATTTTTGCATCCTAGCATAAGTAATACAATGAATTGTTTCTTCCAGGTCACAGACCTCTTATAAACCTAATGCAGAAAACAGTCCAGTGTGTTTGACTATAATGGTAACATAGGAAAGAACTTTGTTCTTATTTCACAGCCATCCAAATTCAGTGGCAGTCACTGTAGTTGTGACAAAAAGCATTGGATTGTTTTACCTTCATATTTGGTCACCTTCCATCTACATTCGGTAAGAATCCCAGCTTCTAAGTTTACATCTGTCATCACAGGTGCCAAGACAATCTTTTTTTCGTTTCCTTGGTTTTTTTTCCATCCCTGGTTGAATGTTTTCCTCAGTCTTCTCTTATTTTCCGCTGCATAATTACTTTTTTTTTTAACTTTAGATTCAAGTTCTTCCAGAAGGAGGAAACACCACCTTTCAATCTTCAACAGTTCTTTAAGGACTGGAGAGATAAAGATCAGAGTGATGGCTTCGGAAAGTGTACGTCATCGAAAACCGAAAGTGGCTCAATAAAACAAATTCTTCGATGCCTCAAAACTACATAGTTCTCATAGATGGCAGCCCAGCACAATATGGTGGTGGATGATGGTTCTGGCAAGTGGAGGTATTTGGCTATTTCTGCCTTTTTTTTTTTTTTTTTGTGTTTTTGTTGTTTTCACCAAGCCCATTTATGCCAGTGCACTTGATCTTGGAAACTACAACTTTGTGAAAATGTGAATTTTATTTATGAATAAAGGTGACCCATGACTATATATTAAGTCAGGGAATTTAAAGCTGGAAAAGATGATCTCTGACCTTCAATCCTATTTTGTGTATGTTGAGATTCCAGAATCTCATCCTTAGAGACGTCATCTTAGAGATGTGGAATAACATGTCTCTTTCCTGGTCCAGAATCGGCTCAGCTCTTCCAGCTCTTTGGTTGTCAGTGATACTGTACCAAATATCATTAGTTAGTCCTTTCTTGTAGCTTACAGGCATTCCCAAAGCAAATTGGACATGTGCTAAAATAATCACAGATATTTTTAGAGCATTCAAATTGTTTGATGTTACTCTTTTTTTTGACAAAAAATGCTAATAACCCTCTAATAACTCTCCCTAACTCAGCTCTCACCACACTCTATTCTTGAGTCACTTCACTTAATGAGAACTGGGTAATGTCATCTTGTCTCTAAAATATTTTAATGGTGAAGCCTGGGTGGCTCAGTCTGTTATGGCTCCGACTTTGGCTCAGATCATGATCTCATGGTTTGAGATGGAGCCCCGCAGCAGGCTCTGTGCTGACAGTTTGAGCCTGAGACCTGCTTCAGATTCTCTCTCTCTCTCTCTCTCTCTCTCTCGCCCCACCCCCATCCCCAAACTTGTGTTCTGTCTCTATCTCAAAAATAAACAAGCGTTAAAAAAATTTAAAAATAATTAAAAAAGGAGGGGCACTTGGTGGCTCAGTACAGTTTGTTAAGCATCCGACTTCTTCAGCTCAGGTCATCATCTCACGGTCTGTGAGACCAGAGCCTGCCTGCATCAGGCTCTGTGCTGACAGCTCAGAGCCTGGAGGCTCATTCATGCGATTCTTTGTCTCTCTCTCTGTTTCTCTCTACCCCTCCCCCCACCATGCTCTGTCTCTGTCTCCAAAATAAACATTAAAAAAATTTTTTTTAAACCTGTAAAAAAAAATAAACTTTAATGGCTCTGCATAGTCTTCCTGAGAATATTCATCTTAAGCTACAGTTACTAGATCTGGCTGTCTCTCAGTGCCTCACCCTTCCACTGCCTGAGGGCACTTCCCTCCTCCCTCAAG